ACTGGCAGGTCAATCAACCCTATTCATTCTCTTCATCTATACCAGAAAATAAACAAACAAAACAGTGGGTAAAAACTATGCCCACTATGATGTAAAGCTCAGGCCTTTACATCCTTTGGATTCAGCTGCACTGATGCATACCCATCAGAGGTGGGAGTGGGAACCATCCTCAACGAACTGCAGGGATGCTGGCCTCCGAGGATAAGCTTTAGGCACAGGTTGCAGATAAGAATCCTGTCCTAAGACAGGAGAAGCCTCCCCTGAAATAGCTCTCAATGGGTTGGAAGAGGGACAGGAAAGAAGGAACTGCTGGGAAGCCAGGTCAACTTCAGCACTATCAGCTACCTAGCAAGATGCCTAAGTCCTCTCCCTGCCCTCGCCCATGGCCCTGCTCTCCCTCACCCCGTGGCTCAGCTTCTAAACTCAGTTCTTACAAGGGCTAGGATAGCTGACAGCAAGGCAGCCCAACTGCAAGCTCAGCAACATTGAAGAGTAGACCAGTGTCTCAGTCGGGGTCTCTACCGCTATAATGACGCACCATGACCGAAAAGCAAGCTGGGGAGGAAAGGGTTTGACTTCCACTTGCACTTCGTAATCCATCACTGAAGAAGTCGGGACAGATCTCAAAGAGTACAGAGCCTGGAGGCAGAAGCTGAAGCAGAGGCCATGGAGGACGGCTGCTTATTGGTTTGCTCCCCATGGCTTAGTCAAGCCTGCTTTTGTATAGAACCTAGGACCAGCAGCCCAGAGTCGGCACCACCCACCATGGACTGAGCCCTCCCTCATCAATCACAAATTAAGAAAATGCCTTACAGCCCGATCTTCTGGAAGCATTTTCTCAATGTAGTCTCCCTCCTTTCAGATGACTCTAGCTTGTGTCAAGTTGACATAAAACTAGCCAGCACAACCACCCAGGCAGGTGAGTTGTCTCTCAATCCTCTGCAGCTCCGAGGGCATTGGCTTTCCAAGCTTTCCCAGAGGGCACTGTGCTCGCATGGGTGCCCAGCTCAATGCATCCTGGCTTCAGGGCTTTTGTGAGACTATACCACAGCCATCTGCATAATCAACAAGGGTCCAAATGAAGCCCTCTGTGCCAGTGTGACAAGACTGGAAAGCCTTTCCACACATACTTCAGACATACCGGGGACACCTGTACACTGCACACACGTGCACACACATACAGACACATATGCAACAAACACAGAAATGCACACAAGGCATTTAATGCAGATACACATTTAAACCACTAACTACACTCTACAAAGTTTAGAGGAGTAGATCTATGTTTTAAGGAACAAGTAGATGATTAAGTGGGAAGGTGTGTGTGTGTGTGTGTGTGTGTGTGTGTGTGTGTGTGTGTCTTAAATCAGGCAGATAAATTAGCGGCTCTTCCTTTAGCTTCTGGGAAATGTTTCAAAACGGGGCAGAACAGAGAGTTTTTATTTGCAAACACTATTAACCATTTCCTGTTCCAACCTCAGAAGTACCTTTGAATCAGCCTGTCACCTGGGTCGCTGAGCCCTGAGCCCCCAAAAGACCTCACTGTGGGCCACAGTGGGTTTTGGGTCTAGATTCTGGCCCGCACTTCTACCTCCTTTTTCCCTTGCAGTTGTTTCAAAATGATCCTTCTGTTTTCTGAACTTCCTGTCCCTGTCCCCATCTAGATGGAAACTTCCCATTACCTCCAGGGTACGGGGATTCCCTCTCCCTAACTTTCCGTCTGCGCTGCCTTTGTGTCATAATCTTGAGGTCAGCACCCTGGAAACTCACGCTCCTCTGCCCTGTCCAGAAGGAGGGGAGCCCCCCACCTCCCAGGCGGGGTGACATCTGAGGGCCTGGCACAGGGAAGCTCCACTAGTGACCACTGAGACCAGCCTTGGGTCAATTCTTCCACCTTAATTTCTTCCTTCCTTCCTTTCTTTCTTTATTTCTATTACTCATTTATTATATATACATTGACAAATCTCATTACAGATGGGTGTCAGCCACCACGTGGTTGCTGGGAATTGAACTCAGGACCTCTTGGAAGAGCAGCCAGTGCTCTTAACCTCTGAGTCATCTCTCCAGCCCCCTCTTCCCACCTTTCTTACTGAGCATTTTCTCAGTGAGTCCGGTAAGAAACAGATGTGGATGCTGGCTCTCCAGTTCATGCCACCATGGCAACCGCACACCCAGTGATCACACTCACAAAATAACAGCTGCTGGCCATGTCCACAGCCACCCAAGAATGTCCCTAGCAGTTCTGTCCATGATCCCCACCAACTGGGATCTTCCTGCACTTGCCTCAGTTGGAAACATCCGTACACACCAACCCTGGCTCAGTACTCAAAGGGACTGGAGAGCTGCCCTGTAACTGCAGGGAATGATGCCCCATAGAAACCCAGAGAAACAGGCACCTCCTGCACCACACTGAGCAGGTAACCAGCACGGTGGGATAGCATGTGTGTTTGGCATTGTGTGTGTATTGGGCGGTAGTATGTGTGCTGCAAATTAAGTGTGTATTGGGACATAGCATGTATATCAGAAGATAGCGTGTGTATTAGAGGAGAAAGTGAGTCTTGAAGAATGTGTGTGTATTGTGAGATCGTGCATGTGTTTGAGACTCTATGGATAATAGCATGTGTGTTGGGGATTGAGTGTGTATTGAGAGATAGCATTATGATGGGTATTGCTTTACTAGGGAAGAGAATGTGTTAGGGATTTTATATATATATTGGAAAGTAGCATGAGCTGGGTGGTGGTGGCTCATGCCTTAACCCCAGCACTCAGGAGAAGGTGGCTCTTTGTGAGTTTGTGGCCAGCCCTGGGGAGGGGGGAGTGAAGGGGAAAGGGGGATAGCATATAGCATGAGTATTAGGATCAGGTGTGCATTGCAGAATAGTATTGTATTAGGGATTGCATGTCACGGAACATAATGTGTATGTATTTGGGATAGGAAGCACTAGAAGACATTACATGTGTAATTTGGAGATCACATGAGAATTGGGAGAGTGTATGTACTTTATAGAATATGTGTGCTTGGGTAGCATGTGTATTTTGGATTGTGGGTCTCGGAGAACAATACGCATGTCGAGGATTGTGAATTTTGTGGGGGATGACCTGATAAGCAGTCGTGTGAGTTGGGGGGATGACCCAGTGACCCCTCTCTAGGTCTGGTCCTAGGAGCCTGCTGTTCCTATTCCATCCTCAGTACCCTTTCCCTCCTACTCTCTGCTTCCATGCAGCCCTGGGACCCACAAGGCTCAGAGCCCAGACCCTCTCAGAAAAGCATTCCTCACCAAGGGAACTGAGGTGACTACTGGCACAGGGAAACCAAGCAGGGCTACCCCAGGCCCAGCCTTGTTCCTCGCCCACTGCTAGGGAGGAGAAAGGAAAGAAGGGAGGAATCCGGCCTAGAGACAAAGGGAAGGAAGAAGATCCAGCAGAAGAGGGAGGAAGAGAGATCCCTGGGGTTCCTTCCCTCTCCATGAGGACACGCCCCCAATACTTGCTGGCCTGGGATGTTATGTATACCTCCAGCGATGGAATGACAGCTTGCTACTCAGACTCCAGCTCCTCCTCTCCAGTCCTCATGAGCTGCTCTACAAAGTCTCAGAGTCCAGGAAGAGTCTAGACAGAACATCAGAACAAGTCTGCATGGGAATCTGTCTAGAATCTGTTCTAGGCCAGTAGCCATTTCCTAATCGCCCAGCCTGGTTGGGGACTTGCTAGCCTGAGCATGCCTGGGAACCACACAGGCCTCAGGAGACTCTGTAACAGCCAGGCCTGGGGAGGGGATCCCCCTCACTTCTGCCCACAAGCCCCATTCTGAGACTGGGGGCGGCCAGTCTGTGCCTCACATTCTTTTTCCATCTCTGCATTCTACAAAGTAATGTTTTCTTCCCCGTTAAGCTGGTGCCTCTGAACGAGGGTGGCTGCGGTAGCTGCCAGATGGTTTCCAGCCGGGCTGGTTATTTTAGGGTTGTGAGACCCACACATCTCATTGCTAATATCAGCAGTTTTTTCCTATTTCCCATTTACACCTAGAGCAGAACTGTTAAGTAATCAGAGATCTCCACAAATGACCAACCAGCCCGGGGCTGTGCACACAGGTCTGCCTACCACATCCCTCCCCAAGGAGACAGGGACAGAACAGGCAGAAGGCGGGGTGGGGGGGGGGGGAATCCCCACCACCTAGGGACTGAGGAAGGTTGACTGGAAAAGACCAAACACTGTGACCACCCAAACTTGGTGTTGGGGGTCTGTCAGGCAAAGAGGAAGGCCCGGGGCAGCAGGACCATCAAAGCTAGGACCACTGTGGAAGCAGAGAAGACAGTGTCCCAGGCAGGAGGGCCCAGGGTCTTGAAGGGAAGTAAAACCGTGAGAAAAAGTCAGACCAGGCCCAGCGGCTTTCTGGTCTGAGGATATGGGTGGGCAGAGAGAAATCTCGGGGTACTAAGGAGAGGTTCACTATAGCCCTTCCAGGCCTCCTCCAACCCATCAGGCAGAGCAGGTGGGTGTGGCCGGGCTCTTGCTCCCCAAAAGTAAAGGACTAAACCATAGCTCGGGGGACTCCAGGTCACACATGCCAAACAAGGTGGGGAAGGCCCAGTTCACCCTCACCGCCGCCAGGGAGGACACCCATCCTCCAAAGTGAGTCTGGCCTGGTCTCGGGTCCCCAAAAATCTCAGGAACTAAGGATCAGCGTACAGAGAAAGGAGAGGATGAAAATTGCCCACGAGAGGGGACTGGAGAGGATTAGATGCCACAGTGGAGCAGGAGGCAAGGGCAGCTGGTCACCTCTCCTCTCTCTGTTCCCTCCTCTCTCACTAGTCCCCTCCCCCTCCCAGGCCCCTCCCCCACTCTCTTTGCCTATTCTCCCATCTCTGTGGAGGTGGAGGAAGAGGGGGCGGGAGACAAGAACAGGTCTCCTCCCTCCAACATAACCCAGGACAGTTTCCGCCACAGAGGCTGCCTGAGCACCCGAGGAGGAGGAGGGGACTACAGCTGCTGCCTTGAAGGAGTCACAGCCAGGGGCTCTGGGCATGTGGGTCCAGCAGGTGCCCTGGCCACTCACCTGGGCTGTACTGCAGTTGAGCTGGCAAGCAGGGTGGCTTCTAGGTATGTGGCTCCAAGGGACATGGGATCAGGGTTGGTGGCTGGGCCAGGGCTTGAAGAATCTGTCGTCCTCAGTCCCTGTCGCTGGAGGAAAGGAACACTGAGCATGGAGGGCGCCCGTGCCCAATTGTCCAGACTGGCTCCTTTTTTAGCTTTTACAGGAGGAGTGCCTTTTGGGGCCCAGAATTCACTCCCCACTTTCTTTCAGGTAGACTGAACATTTGTCCAATCTCAGCCGATCCTTTATGGCAGTCTTTGTGGGGCAATGGCTGGTCTGGCCAGAGCTCTGGCCTTGGCCACTGCAGCCCGCTTCAGGATTCTGCCAGGCCCTGGTGTCCTTAGGTGTCCCCTGTGTTTTCCTATAGTTGGGGACATCCCTACAAGAGGCCTGCCTTACACCCTGTAATCAGCCATGTCCTCACGGGCACGGTCTCCTCTGTTGCTGTCCCTGGAGGACTCCAGACTGCACATTCCTGGCCTCATAGTGGATTCTGGGGAGGGTGAGACCTAGGGGCACAGCAATCCTGGTCAAATTCCTCACAGTGAAAACTTGACCTCACTTCCCTGTACCCCTTGACCTCTGCCCTCTCCTCTGGGGACTGAGTCCATCTTCACTGGGAACCCCAGGCTAGGGAAAAAGTCACCCAGCTTCTGGGCCAGGGCTATTCCTGCTGAGCACAGGAGAGTGACCCAGGCAAGCTTGTGCCCTGTGCTGCCCTAGGACATGTTTTACCTGTAATGATGTCCCCTTGCTCATATGACGCCTCAGTCACCTTGACCCCAGCCTCTTCACTATCATGAGAGCTGGGTGGGACCGGGAGCTGGGTGCTCATAATTGTAGACCCTCTCCATGTTGCAGGCCAAGGCTGGTTGGGAAGCTGGGGATGCTTTCCCTCCATGCTGGCCTCCGGGCTGCTGTCAGGACTGATGAGGGAACAGACCTGAACAAGGGAGATGGTCCAAGGCCCTGTGGATGAAAGATGTCCCTTGAGGGAACCTAGGGACAGGAAGCAAAAGGAGAAGGGTCATGTGTCATTGGAGAGAAGGACCTGAGACAGAAAGGGGGCTATGACTCACTCTGGTGACCTGGCACACTGGGCATGTCCCCAAACGCCACTTCATGACGACGTATGGAAAGACGGGTGTGTTTATGCAGGCCTGCTCTAGAGTGTGTCTGACAAATGTCCTGAAGCTGGCATGCCTCTTTCCCCATCTAAATAGCTGTGCACCGAACACGTCCCGTGGCCAGTGCCGCGCCTCTTGGTCCAGGACATTTCTCCCTGCCCAGTTGCCTTGCCTTCCTTACTTCAGTCATTCCCACAGACAACCGTCTCATGCTTACAAGTCTCCCAACCTCAACCATGGCTGCCTAGTGACTAAGGTGGGGGAAATCCAGGCTTGGCAATGGACCATCATGTATCCAGACTAAAGGCAGGCATAGTGGAGCATGCCCATCAAAAGTTCAAAGCCAGCCTGAGCTGCCCTGCTGGCAGACCCTTTCGGAAAACGCCGTAAGTTAGTCAGTCAGTAAAGCCTCTGCTGAGCATGGTGACCTTCGGTGAGCCCCTCAGTCCCCTTACCATCTCCTCACCTACATTTCTCCTTTCATTTTTCCGTTTTATTATTTTATCTTATTATAGACGTGTTTTGCCTGCGTGTCTGTGCATTGCGTGTGTGTCTGGCATCTGGGGAGGCCAGGAGAAGGCATTGGCTTCTGTGAAACTGGAGTTACATATGGTTGTGAGCTGCCATGTTGGTGCTGGGGACTGAATCTGGGTCCAATGCGAGAACGGCCCAAGCTTTAACGGCCGAAGCATTTCTCCAGCCTCTGGCCTACAATTTGGGGAAAACAATTGTTGCCTCATGGGTCACGTGATTTACTCAGACCACTTATAAAAGCTGCCAAACTCATCCTAAGACACATTTCTACACTTCTTCTTTCTCCTCCTCCTCCTCATCTTCTTTTTTCTTTTTTGTTTTTGTGGGGTTTTTGTTTTGTTTTGTTTTGTTTTTTTGACATGGTTTTTCTGTGAGACTTTTGAAGCCTGTCTTGGGACTGTAGACCAGGCACCAGGCTGGTCTCAAACTCAGAGCTCTGCCTGCCTCTGCCTCTGCCTCCCGGAGTACTGGGATCAAAGGTGTATGCAACCACCACCCGGCTGAGACACATTTCTCAAAGTCAGACTTGCTTTTTAAAAGCTATAGTTTTGAAAACTGTCCATATACATTCCATACACATCTGCATGTGTAGCTTATTAAGTCCATTTAGCTTTGCCCATATGTGCACATGTTCAGAGTTGACCACGTGGGATTGGACAATCTTCGTGGGTGTTTGTCTTTGGGCAACTGACCCTCTGTCTCTCTCAATAGCCATTAACCTCCTGTAGCTCTTCATCCGGGGATAGAACCACGTGGAATTTCCTCTGTTCACATCTGTGTGGCAAATGGTGTTACAATTATGCTAGTCTTGTGTTCAGTCTGGTTGAGAGTTCATGGATGCATTTTCCCTATAGCGTCTAGGGAACTCTCCATCAGCCGGCATATCGGGCCTCTAGCTCTCACAAGCCTTCCACACCGTCTCCTGAGCTCCAAATGTATCAGCTGGATATGTGCAATCCACACTCACTCTCTGCATTTTGAGCAGTTGGGTGTCTCTGTACTGAACTTATTTGCAAAAGAACCTTCTTTGATGAGGTGTGAGAGAGCTACACTAATTTGTGGGTATAAGGATAGATATTTAGAAAATAGTTATAGATTGATATTCAATGGATGGATAGATATAATTGTGTGGTGTGTGGTGTGTGTGTTATATTAGTGAGAATACCAACCTTTTTTTGAGGCCATGTCTCGTCAGATTGCCCAGGCCAGTCTCAAACTCAAGACTGTCCAGCACCAATTTCCCAGGTGCTAAGGTCGCCAGCACACACAGCCTCGCCTGGCTAATTGGTACTTCCTGCCTTTGTTGGCTTGGCTGGACCACTGTCACCACAGCTGGTGGAGAGGGGGTTAGGAAGCACTTCCTCAAGCTAGGGGCCTTAAACTGGACCTCAAGACAGGGGGCTCCTCAGTCCCCGTGGGCCAGTATGTTCTAGGTCCCCCTCTTGCCTCTGAATTTCCCAGCCACCTTTTGGTTCCTTGGTAACTAGACACCTCCCTGGCCTCTACCTTTACCCTCACACATCAGTCTGTGTCCATAATTCCCTTTCTACATAGACATCAGCCCCACTAGCTGAGAGCCACCCTACCCAAGGAGACCTTATCTTAATTAATCCCATAGCTAGTCCCTAGTGCTAGCAAAGTTCTACCCCGAGGTGTTGGAGTGAAGATTCCAGTATGAGTCTAGAAACAATTCGCCCCATCTCCCATCTCCCCAGATGCAGATGTCACAAAGCCCTTCATCACTCGTCCTCGGAAGTCCCCTGGAGACAGATTCCCACCTAGATGCAGCTAGAGCTCTGAGATCGTGCTTCTGGCTGGCTGGCTTCACCCTGGCTGGGACACTTGGGGGTGACATGGTTTTGGCTGAGTGTCTGCAGGTCCTTGGCCTCCCCTTTGGCTTGGTTAGCCTGTGCCTTTAGCAGCCTGGGCAAAGGTGGAGTGTCATCTGGGACAGCTCACATCTACTTGAAACTACGGTTCTGATGTCTTTGGAGGCGCCCTCCTGGGATCCTCACACTGGGGACATTTCTCCAGGTGGACATCGGGGATACAATCTATTTGTAATGAATAAGGAGAGCCCTGTCACCCACCTGTCCATGTTTTCATTGCCCCAGACGAGTCTTGCCTAAAGAAGGTATGGTATGCTCCTATGTGGATATGATTTGGCCTCAGCCTGCAGGAGCCAGTGGTCTACAGTGAGCTTGCCGTGTGTCCCTCCAGGCTCAGGCTCTGACTGAAAAGGCTCTCCCTCTCAACTTCCCAGTGCTAACCATGGCATGCCACACACCCATCAACTCACCTCTGTACATGAATCCAAGAGCAAACTCAGGGAAATCGGGAAGACCCCGTCACCTCTGACTTACGCCTGCTATGCAGATGTTTGCACAGGCTCAGGAGGCCAGGAAGGCTCCCTGGAGGACATAGCCTAGCTTAGTCCTTTTTCTGTTGTTCTAACACCACAGACTGGGTGATTTGTGAAATCATCTCAGAGTTCCTAAGCTGGGAGTCTGAGGTCTAGGGGCAGCCTCCAGCGAGTCCTTCCTGCTAGTGGGAAGGCTGCAGAGTCCCAAAGTGGTTCCAGAAGGAAGGGACAGACGGAGCAAGTGCTGCCTTACAGCCCAGCCTCTCCATCGACAGCACACGACCCTGCGGTCCGCGAGTGGGCACGCATTGCCTCCAGAGTTCCCTCTTCCCGGCATCGCTAGTATATGACTTCGGGGTTAGTGTTCACTGACGGCACGGTTGCAGGGTGAAAACTCCCACGTAAGTTGGACAGGAGTGGGGTTGAGGAGCAGAAGGCTAGCTTACCGGCATTGGCGCTCCCACACTGGGCCTCCAGGAGCAGGAGTCCTAGGCTAGGTCGGGCAGCGGAAGGGGCCCTTTACATTACATTCTGGTCCTCACTCCTCACCTGGTTGGGGGACAAGCTGTGAGTTCAACTAGGCTGGCTCTAGGTACATCCCCAAAAGGGGTCCCGGCCAGTTCTAGGTTCCCAGATCCTGGTTAGAGGCCCACAAGGCGAGAGACAAAGTGATCTAAACATGAAAAAGGGCCGATTCTCCTCCTTGGCATGCACACTGCCAAGTGAAAGACAGGCTCCTCAGCTGATTTTTACAAATAAAAGGAGTGTGTGTGCACGTCATTGTACATTCACATTGCATGTGTGTGAGCATATATGTGGAGGTCAGAGGTCAATATCAGGTATCTTAATTGCTCTCCACCTTAATTTTTGAGGCAGGATCTCTCTCTGAACCAGAAACTCACTGACTGCCAAATTAGCTCCCCAGCAGGCGGCAGGGATCCTCCTGCCCCTGCCTTCCCAGTCCCAGGGTCAAAGGCGGGCACAGCCACACAAGACTTAGATAGACACTGCAAATCAATCTCCTTGCATTTGCTTGGCAAACACGTTAGTGACTGAGCCAACACCATTGCCCTGGGAAACTTACATGGGTGTGGATGTGGGTGTTCGTGGGTGCACAAACCTATGTGTGCGTGTGATGGCCAGAGGAAAATACCGACTCTATTGCTCCTATCTTTGTGCAGATTATACCCATTAGCGAATAATCTGAGTCACCAATAATGCACCGGCGTCACGTTAAGGGAAGAAGTTGACTCACTTTTCCTCAGAGTCGTTCATCCAAGAGACAGTTCAGACTAGAACTCTCCACATCATGCTCCACTTGTCTGTCTCCAGCCATCTGTTGTGTGAGTCCAAACCTGTGCCTGCCTGAAGGCTGTCTTGTGAATCTGTCTACATCCGTGTCTTCTGTTCAGTGTGTGGGTCTTAGCTGTCCGTGTTTGTGAGTAGTGACTGTCTGTTGTATGATCTGTATGTCTGGCTGGCTGGCTGGCTGTCGTGACTGTCCATGGCTGTGCGTGCTATCTGCCTATTGTATGGTCTCTCTGTCTCTCTCTCTTTGTGTGTGTGTGTGTGTGTGTGTGTGTGTGTGTCTGTCCCTAACAAAGGACTTTGCTCTGTCTTTATTGAACAGCATGCAAAGCATCATATAGGGGAGATACTTGACAGAAATCTTTAACAGGGTTACAAGGCATTGAGTCACTGGCTCTAACTGCCTGGGTAACACAGATGATAAATGCCATCATCAACCAATACCCACAAGTGGATGCTTTCAGCCTCTGTGAAGGATGTTAGAACATTGCTTTCCACCTCTGTATTTGCTGCTTTCAGCAAATGGTACACATGCATCATCTGAGTCAGGGATATGGAAGAGAATGTGATTTAAGATTGCAGCTATGCATTGCTTAAATTGTAAAAGTTGATTACATGGGAAATCCGATGTAAGTAAGGTTGATTGGTACATTGTTCTCTTGAAAGCAGGTTAAAGTGGGGCTTGGTGGCACAAGTCTTAATCCCACCACTTGGGAGGCAGAGGCAGAGGTAAACAATCTCTTGAGTTCAAGGCCAGCCTACTCTACAGACAGAGTGAGTTCCAGGCTACACAGAGAAACCCTCTCCTAAAAACCAAAATAAAAGAGTTTCAAAGGCAGGTTAAATAAACAGACCAGGTACACAGTAGGGCAGCACTCTTAAATCTTAAGTGATACCAAGCTTTATAATTAACTCTGGCTGTGAGGCCCAACAAACTTTCCAGTCTCTCAAAATGTCAGACATATTTTTAAAGTATTGCATTGCCACACACTTTATTCCCTTGAGACAGTATCTTTCACTAAAACTGGAGCTTGTATTTTTCACCCATAAATCTCCCAGGATGCTCCTGTCTCTACCTCCCATGATTCTGACATTACAAACACATACACACCTGTCTTTTACATGGGTGCAGAGGACCCAAGCTCCCAGCCTCAAGTGTTCTTACCTGCTGGGCCCATCTCCCCAGCCCCTCTTCCTCCTTCCTGTGAAATTTCTAATTGTGTAAAAATTAAAACAGTTTGATAGAACTCACAGTGCGGGACACAGGACCATCCTCATCCCCTGTACCCAGAAGTCAGTACTGTCACGGCTCCTCTCCACTCACCACTCCTGAGTTAATCAGAAGTGGTTATCGTTATCACAGCAGGACAGTTCCTCCCTATGATCTCAGCACCTAGGACATAGACAGAGAATTGTGAGTTCAAGGCCAGCCTCGGCTATGTAGCCAGTTCCTGTCTTTAAAAGAGAAGCCACCGTTATGTGTTTTAACCACAGTGACACATCATCTTTCATCTGCCTGTGTGCTCCCACAGCATGAAAGGGAGACTCGGAAGTACTGCCTAGGGCCTCAGCATCTATCCCACTCTCTCAGGACTGCAGGAGATGCTTGCTGCTGAACCCACCTAACTGCCATCACATGCAACAAGGTGCTCCAGCTCTGTTCCTGGCAGCTCTCCCAGGGGCCTACTCATCCCTGGGTGGCACTTTACTCTGACCCGACTGCCGGGGGTATAATGTTACCACCTTGTGATCCCCAGAGGCACTCTCTTGCCAGACCCAGTCCCCCCTCTACAGCCCTAGAGCAGAACAGTGCCCTCTATGAACAAGTCTCCATCATCGCCATCTCTAGCCCACCACAGGCACAACTGAAGGAAGGCACAAGGAAGTTCAGGAAAAGAATTCCCAGGAGAGCAGAGGCGCAGAGGCTGTGGGGCACAGAGGGAGCATGGAAGGGACATGGAGGCCAAAAGGTTCTAGACAGAGAAAGGCAAAGCCAGAGACATAGGCAGAGACCCACAAGAGGACAGAGATCTGGGAAGCTGATGGCTCTGCCACCAGAAGAATAAATAGCAAAGAGTCAGCGAGAAGACAAGAGGCTCACATGGCCATACATTTAGACACAGGGCCAGGGGAGACCTGGGACCCAACAACTAACGAGGCAAGGGGCTCTGGAAGCCACGATCAGATCAGCAACTCATCTGGGGCAATCTAGGGGCCAGCCCTGAGAGGGAGGGTGACAGGTGGTTCTGAGGACATGCCACAGTCCCAAAGTCTAGTGGACAGGTCCCATCAAAGGACAGGAGGTGACAACTGGATAGAGTTGCGTTCACAGACCACAGCTGCCCTTGGACAGGTGTGACCACCCTGCTCAGAGCAAAGAAGGGGAACTATGCCTTTTGACTCTCTGGGGGCTTTTCTGGTTCTCCTGACCCTGGAGAGACTTGAGAATCTGTTCCTCTCCCCAGGGAATTCAGAAAGAGTGCCCACACCCCGTCCTGACAGATCTTTGTTCTCTTCCATCTCAGAGGTCTCCAGCGGACCCTGGAGGCCCCTCACCTTCTCCCCAGCCTGGCTCACAGTGGCAGAGGGAGCAAATGCCACCTTCACCTGCAGTTTCTCCAACTGGTCTGAGGACCTTATGCTGAACTGGTACCGCCTGAGCCCCAGCAACCAGACTGAAAAACAGGCCGCCTTCTGCAAAGGGTTAAGCCAGCCCGTCCGGGACAGCCGCTTCCAAATCACACAGCTAGCCAATGGACATGATTTCCACATGAACATCCTTGCCACGCAGCGCAACGACAGTGGCATCTACCTTTGTGGGGCCATCTCCCTGCCCCCCAAGACACAAATCAAGGAGAGCCCTGGAGCAGAGCTCGTGGTAACAGGTACGGCTAGAAATGCCTGGATAGGAGACCCCTCCTGCCTAGGGACCTGCTAGGTTCTGCCCTCTCTCTCTCTCTCTCTCTCTCTCTCTCTCTCTCTCTCTCTCCCCCTCTCTCTGGAAATCCTCGAGTGCCCGTTCATCTTCAAGGGATGGTGGGGCCTATGGAAGTAGGGTGGGTGGCCAGTCACTGCCCACCCAAAGTGGATTTGGAGCAGGCAGGATGGGTGCCCCCAAAGAGAATACACTATGGGTGCCCTAGAACTCTATCTATCCTTTGTGGTCCTGTAGAGAGAATCCTGGAGACCTCAACAAGATACCCCAGCCCCTCACCCAGGCCAGCAGGCCAGTTTCAAGGCTTGGTCATTGGTATCATGAGTGTCCTGGTGGGTGTCCCTGTGTTGCTGCTGCTGGTCTGGGTCTTAGCTGCCTCCTGCTCCACAGGTGTGCCAGGTAAGTCTCGTCATAACCCTGCCCCTGCCCCACCAAAATCAAAGCCTCAGGCCTTGCAAATAGCCCTGCTGGCCATTCTCCACCTACTCTGCTTCCAACACCCTGCCTGCTACCTTCCCCCAGGCTCCTGACTGTCAGGAAACCTCATAGTCGCCAGAAGGGTCTGTCATCATACTTCCCACACATCCTGACCACTACAAGAGCCAGTGGCCACGCAACCCACAGCTAGCCCCAGGCTGCTGGTTTTTTACTAAACAACTGGTCAAAATTGCCATTTCCTATGGCTGGAAGAAAGGTCTAATTCAGCCTTCAGGCTCCTGTCACTAATGGACGGTGCCTATGCTGCCGTCTCCAGGAACCTCCTAGCTAAGTCTGGTCATCATCCAGTTAAGAAGCCACATATAATACCGGCTGCGTACCTGCTATATGCTGTGGTGCTCTAGGGCACAGGGCAGAGTTACACATCCATCCCTCATATTCCACAATTCATGACCCGAGTGGGAACTCCCAGTTACTAAATGGCAAGGGTGTAAGTAGGAATAGAAAGCCTGATGCCTGCCCATAGTCTAGCTCTCTTCAGGGCCTAAAACCCCTACCCCAGGAGCAGACAAGTGTGTGCACGCGTTTACATGCCCACGCACGCGTGCGCGCGCGCGCGCGCGCACACACACACACACACACACACACACACAGCCAAGACCTCCCCTCCACCAGGGAAGATGGCTCAGCAGCTGCCCTCTAATTCAAAGTGTGTTTCTCAACAGAGGCCAGAAGAGCTGGAAGAAAGGAACAGCCTTTGGTGAGTCTGAGTCCTCTATCTTGAATGATCCATCACAGTCTAGTACAGGCAGAGAGACCATGGGCCTTAGGGGCTGTGGGGCCTGGAGAACTAAGCTCACACTTCCCATATCCTGATGCTGTACCCACCAGCTGACTCCAGAGTGCATAGCCATGTCATGTCCGGCATGCTCACTGCTTATTCTATTCTGGGCAGAGATGAGTGTAAACATCGCAGTTTGGAATTCTAACCCTGCAAGAAGGTCAGGGACCATTTAGGGTTAGAAACGGAGCCAGAAACAGAGGTACTACATCCTGAATCTCAGAGAGGCCAGTGTGTGTGTGTGGGGGGGGGGGGTGCAGACAGCTGTTAGGTCCCAGCTTCAATGGCTAAGGTCTCAAGAAGAACCCCAAATCCAGGGACAGACTGGAAACTCAGCATGGAGGATGGTTGAGATTATGGAATGCATCACAACCCCAACTGCCTACACAGATGACTTTCTTCTTCCTCCTGCTCCCTTTTAGGAGGGCCCTTCAGCAGCACCTGTCCTCAGTGTGGCCTATGAGGAGCTGGACTTCCAGGCACGAGAGAAGACTCCAGAGCCTCCCATCCCCTGTGTACACACAGAGTATGCCACCATCGTCTTCTCTGAAGGGCTGGGTACCTCGTCCTTGGGACGTAGGGGCTCAGCGGATGGTCCTCAGGGTCCTCGGCCTCCAAAGCATGAGGATGGACACTGCTCTTGGCCCCTTTGACCGGGTGCTTCTGCCATTAGCATCCTGCAGACTCTCCGCAGAGGGCACCGGTCCATTCCTCCATCAAGAGGAACGTGCAGACTACAGTGCAGCAAAGGCTCCCAGGGTCCGAGCTATCTGGAGTGAGCTGTCTGGAGTGACCCATCCAACACGTGTTGTTGAGTGACAGTTCTCTTAATGTTTACCACCAGCTGGGAGCAGCAGGCATCCCTGTCCTCTCCTATCACAGAGGGAAGAGCTGATCTGAGCCTAGGTCTCCTGAATCCTGTTGCTGGGTACTGCTAGGGGCCTGAGTCACTGCAATCTGTGGCCTCTGGGGATCCTATGCCTACAAATAGGGGGACCTGATTAGAGACTGCCTTGAGGCACCCCCATAACAAGGAGCTCCACGTACACAGTAGACACAGCACCTAAAGCTGCCTGTGAGAGGTACTCAGATGGGACATTCATAGGCCGGGGGACCCAGGGACCCTGAACTAATCCCAAGGCCTGAAGAGTTCCTAGCTTTGGGGGGCTGGGGAAACATGAGCGCTCACCAGGCGAAGGTTCTGTGAGAGTCCCTGCTGTCCTGCATGTCCAGCTCTTTCTACAGCTGGGAAACTGAGGCAAGGAAGGGAACCGGCAGAGCTAGCGACCCACCCACACCTCCAGTGAAGCACTAACCTCTCCCTGCTTTACCCCTAGAGACCAAAAAGACAGGTCTCAGGTCAGCAGCAGGGAAGGGAAAGGGGAGACACAATTTTGACTTATACCAACTGTGGCCACCTTGAGCAGTGATTTGGGTGTGGTGGAGGGGGGTCTCTCCATCCTCTCCTGGACTCCAGTTCTGGCTCCCATTCACACTGTGGCCATGAAGTGGACGAAGGATTTTAAGGGCCCCCTTGGCACTTCAGACAGTCAAGGTAGCAAGAGCCTAGCTGGCTGGCGGTCACCCAGATGGCCAGGGCTCAGGCTCAGGAGTCCCTTTCCTTTGGTTCTATTATAATTAAATGGTTTTTTAAAAATGCTTTAAGAAGTTCTGTTCTATTTCTGTGGCGTTGGGGCTGGGGTGGTAAGGGAAGAGCTGAGGGCCACTCCAAGGCCCCAGATGAAGTAGGGAAGGTTGCCTCCCTCCTCAGGCCCAGCCTGAGTCAGTCCTTGCCATTACTGAAATACACAGTCACATTTACGTTGTCAGTGCCCAAGTGTGAGAGACCTTAAGGGAAGAGGTGGAGGAGGAAAAGGCATGCTTCCCACACCAGGCCTCCCAAGGCTCCCACAGCTACAGACCCTAAGCCTCAGCCCAGCAGGAAGGTGCCCTGAATTGCTTTACCTGTGTCCCCATGTCCTCCTGTGCGAGTCCTTGCAGACAGGGTTGGGATCATGTGCTGGGAGTCATTTCAGTAAGGTGGGTGAACTATATCTGGGTATGAGAAAGTACCTTCGGATCCCTCCCCAGGGCACAAGGTAGGACATTTCAGAAGGGATAAACTTGTTCCCAGCCCATCATTAGCCCGGGGCCTTGACTTTTGGCCACAGAGGAAGTCGGGCAGCCCTCTCCAGCCTCTGTCTGGGGACCAGAGAGCGCCTTTGAGTGCTGCAGCCACTGACACTCCTCGAGTCCCTCTTGAGCTCACTCCATCTTGAGCAAGGGAGAGGGAAACACCACATCCTGAAAGGACAGAGTCAACGGAGAGATACCAAGAATAAGCCAGGGTTCTAGAAAAACTCGCCAGTGCTAGAGAAAGAAACCTGGTCACCCAGCTGATAGGGAAAAGTGAATCAAGAGATGGGCAGCTCTCCGCGGTTCAAGAAGCTCTCTTGGGTAGCCGACAAGTGAGTGCTGGCCCATTCCCTTTATCACAGCAACAGTTGGGGCCTTACTTAACAGTGCTTCTCAACCTCCCCAACACTGAGACCCTTTAATCCCTCCGGCTGTTGTGACCTCCGGCCATATAATTATTTTATTGCTATTAATAACTATAATTTTGCTAGCTATTAATCGTAATGTAAATATCTGATATGTGACCCTTGTGGGAGTTGTGACCCACAGGTGGAAAACGGCTGACCTAGCGGTATGTGCAGGGAAAGCAGGGCACAGACATGCCTCCCCACAGGACACAGGGCTCTGCTCACAATGGACATGGTAGCTCTTCCTACTTGATCTATAAATTTAACATCATTCTGGAAAAAAAAAAAGTCTCGCCTATAGAACTCTAACATATGCAGGAGAGTGGACAGGCAACAGAAAGGGTGGAAGGGTGTCCCCTGCCTGTGCTGGGACCAGCAAGGAGCAGCCTCAAGACCATGCAAGTGGGGACTTCCTATTAGGTCCTGGCATTCCCCGTCAGATTCCCACCACATGCAACACACTCGCACACTCCCAGGTCCAGCAAACCATACAGACAGTTCGTGCAAGCTCAAGAAGGTGAGGGCATGTTTCCAAACAGCATGGGCGTGGGGCCAACCTTAGCTATTAAACAACTTCGGACAATTCAAAATAAGATGGACACATGCAGCTCACAAAGTGGAAGGCAAAGCTTCAAGCCGGTGAAGATTAACATATGCAAACTGCAGTAAAACATCTGTGCTACCATATGAAGATTCCAATACAAACTAAACGGCGATCTAAAAGTCTGGAAAGGAGAAAGTGCAAGCAAGTTGGCAGGAGACATAATCGTCATTTCACCACAATGTGTGGGGCACATCTGCCCATGCCTGCTTATTCGTGAGTACATATACAGTGTGTTCGTGCATGTATATCCATGTATATCTGTTTATGCACTGTGTGCATGAATGTGTGTGCCACGCGCAGGTCACATGCTCTTATGCATGTTGCATACATGCCTATATGCACACACATATACAACACACACAGACCTTAAACAGTGAAAGAGCATTACATTTTATTTGTCATCCCCTTCCATGACAGAAGACACCAAGCTTATAGCATCCATCTTTGCCCATCTGTTCTCTGTGGAACGCTGTGAGGGAGGGAGGCACAGGACAAAGCCTGGCAAACCCAGCCACAGGGCTCTGAAGTGGCCCGTGTCCCCATCGGAAGTCTCAGCACACTCAGCACAACACCAGCAATTGGGTGTCTGAAGACCCAGAGCCAAGTCAGAGTTGTTCAGAAATGACAAGGCAGCCAGGTGGGCATCAAAAGATACCAGAACTAAAATGTGATGAATACACCTTGAATATGTGGTTACAAGAACATCGTTATGAGTTAAAAGAACATAAAAGGGATGGCGAGTACAGCAAAGAAAGAAAAAAATAAGGAGGGAGAAGAGGAGGCACACGGCAGGCAGGAGGAAGTGGTCGTATTCTCAACGGTTCTCTGAACCTCCCGCCTGGCTCTGGGCTGCAAGGCGCTTCTGGGCCAGGCCATCCGGTGGTGGCAGCCTCCGTTCAGATAAGAACTGAGAACACAACAGCAGGGACCTGTCAGCACCTCACATCCGCTTTCCCGTAAAGAAGCCGAAGCCACTGCACCTCCCCGCACTCATTTTTTCCGTCCCCTTGCCCTGCCCCGGGCTTGTGTGTCACCGCAGGGCTCAGACCCTGAGCCTACCCCCTCCCACTGTGGTGTCCTAATCTCGGGCGAGGCTGCAGCCTCAAGCCGGCTCTTGATGTGGTTCCCTCCACCACAAATCAGATCTGACCCCAGGGGAGCAGGACCCAGGTGTCCAAGCTGCCTACTCACGCCGAGCCCCACCCAAAGGGGTTCTCTTTTCTCTCCCCTCGCCCACCGCTCAGGTGCCGATGTCTCAGGGGTGGACAAAGGCCCCTGGTTCAGACGACTAGGGTCTGGTGCTGTTGGATGGAGCCGGCAGGAGAAGCAAGAGGGATCTGCCAGAAGCCCGGCCTCTTGCGGTGGAAGGCAGGACTGGACTGGCGCATAGATCCCTGTGGCCAATATTGGTTGAGCTCTGGTGGTCTCAGGGGTCAGGTGGGGCCCTTTTACATTAAGGCTCAGGATGTGGAATTCCTCCAGGAGACAATCCATCAAGGCTTTGCAATAACAGAAATCAGACCCAATCACTGGGGCTGCTCAGGGCATCCTGTCTTCCCTTCTTGGATAGCTTTATAGTTTTTGTTTTGTTTTCTTTAAAACATGGTCTCACTATGTAGACCTGGCTAGCCTGGAACTCAGAGATATCTGCTTCCAGAGTCTGGAGTACTGGTATTAAAGATGTACAGCACCACACCTCTCCTTTAATATATTGTGAAAAGGTGTGTGTGTGTGTTTGTGTGTGTGTGTGTGTGTGTGTGTGTGTGTGTGTGTGTGTGTTCATGGTCCATGGGCATCATTTGTATGTAAGTACATACATTTGAACTCTTGGAATACAGTTTCAGGCAGATGTGAGCCACCTGGTGTAAGAGCTAGGTACTGAAGCCTCTGCAAGAGCAGTAAGCACCATTAACTACTAAGCCATCTCTCCAGCCGTTGGATAGACCTTAGTGTCTCTGACCTGGCCAGTCCCCACCCCACCCCTCACTAACAGGATCCAATTTTCAGAAACCTGGCCCCAGGGTGTGGCCAGAGAGGGCTACTGCCAGGTAGCAAGTATCCAGGGACCTGGTGGGCACAAGCCCACTACTGACCTGCCCACCACATGGCCATATACTCTATAGCTGTTTTGAGGTTCATAGGTTTTTATCTGGAAACTCCAGAACCAAATTATTACACTGGCAGACTGGCAGAATGTTCTTCAGCCATTAAAAAAGGGGTGTTTGTGTTCCACATTCACAGGCACCCCACTCTTCACGAGAGTGAAGAGCTAGAAGCAACCCATATGTCTATCAACGAATGAGTGACTGAGCCAGATATAGTCCACCTGTACAATGGAGCATCAGCCTTGACAAGGAAGAAAATTCTGACACACACTACACCATGGATGAATCATAAACAGTGCGTTCAGGGAAGTAAGCTGTCTGCATGAAAAGACACACCAGGAGTGAAAGTCAGGGAAGGTAAGTCAAGCAGCGGCTGCCAAGACAATTTCATACTTACGGGAACAGAGTTTGGTTTTATAGCAGGAATTTCATTCTAGGCTGGAAGGGCAGTCCCTGAACCAAAAGTGCTGGCCTAATCCCAGAAGCTGCCTCAGCTAGTTGAAAGGGAAGGGCTCCCCATCTGTAAGCACATAAGGATTGACACCCTCACTAAAGTAAGGGGAAACTGAGGCCTCCACAAGGTCACCCTTAGTAGTCAGAACTTGCCAG